AACACCTTTATCTGAGCCCCTTTGTATAAACTGAGCATGCATTATAGATAGACTATGTAAGTTATGTTTGTTCTATCGAATGTGATATTCTTATAAGAATATAAGAATAAGAGTGTATATATACACTCACGTTCTCCGAAGGTCATCATACGGCTTCCTAGTTGCAAGGTGTTATTGCAAAAACGACAAGAACTTGTTCATGCACTGTTGTTTTTAGGCAACCGCACTCTGGAAGTTGTCGAAAGCTTTGTCTTCCCGGGGAGTTGCATGACGGCTGACGGAGGTGTGGGGGAAGAGAACTCTTAACGCATAATTGAAGTTTGTTTGATGTTGGCTAATCTACAGCATCTCGATTTTCATCGTGACATATCCCTTTCAGTGAAAGGACGTGTTTATTGCGCAACGTTAAGCACCGTGTTTCTCTGCGGAGAGAGTATAGTATGTCCAACGACAACCGTCTTCTTCGCGACATATCCCGTGTATGGTGGGAGTATCGTGTTGATAACGATCAGGTCAGACGACGTGTGTTAGGGTCCGACGGTCTTCCACTGAGCAAAACATTATACTATATCGTCCGAGTTGGCTAGGGCATGTTCTATTGATGCCTGAGCATCGTCTATCATACAGTGTACCATTTAAATATGTGGGTTTGGGCTAGAAGAAACAACGAGGTGGGCAGACTAAGGCGTAACGTAGAGGGTTGACGAGATTGTGCTCAGATTTGGCGTTTGTCGGAGCTTCCCGATTGGGGCCCCAAAGATTCAGTTTGTCTTTGGATGAAGACACTGTGGTATATGGCATGGAATCAAAATTAGTCTCTTGAGTGCCCCGCTTTTTCTGTATTCAATCCCAAAAACAAAACAAACAAACGAAAACGTCAAAATTGCGGGTAGTAAACATGCAAAATAAATTTTCATCCCATAGTTGATTGCTTTTGTTTTCTCGATTGTTGTTGGTTTACTGTAATTCTGTATGAACTTTGATTAGTTTGGTACCGTATCTGTAGAGATTGGTGTTAACATATATATATAGAAAGATGCTGAGGTTAAGAAAAGAGTAGCAGTTGATAATGGAGGTCGTACACCAAAGCAACCTCTTGGTTTACGTGGATGTTAGTCTTCCTGAGCAACGTTTCCGCTTGCCAATGTTTAACCATTTTGAGTTCACAAAAGATGTTTAACCTAAAGCCCGATTTCTGAAGCTAATGGCTGGATGAGATTTGGGGTTCTAACTCCTATAAGGTCACTATACTATGAATGCAATGATCTTTCCTTTTGACAAACTCATCCTCGTTTAGTGCTGTGGGTTGACGATTCATACTGCCTAAAAATAGGGCTTCGTACGTTTTTCTCGAACTTACACAACTACACTTATTTGCATGATAAGCTAATTTGTCAGTAAATTAATTCAGGGAATTTGTTAAAGTATAATAATTAGTTGCCTGTTTTTATCAGAAATACCTGAGATATTCACATACCTATCGGTTAAGTGCTTTTAATCCTTCCTTGAAAAATTAAGGAAAATCAGCGTTCTTTTTTATTTGCCAAAACCTGTACAGTTACTCTGTAGACCTGCAGCGATTAACAGAGCTAGTCTAAGTCTGACCAATTATTTGGGGCATAAAATATAAAAGACTTCAACAAATAAATTCAATCTTCATCTACAATATTCTCTGATAGACTGAGGTTTTCATTATATGGTACAAAGTAACAGTTCAACAGATAAATAACTTGAAAGGAAAAACTTCAGTTGTTTCTTCTGTACATGATGTGTTCATCGTGATTCAATTGTAATTCAGTTGTTCAATTGTTTTTGAAACATTGTTAAAATTACCGGTTTGCACCATAGGATGTAGAAAATCGCCAGAGACGATCCGCTGAACCGGTTTTGTTATTGAAATCAGTTTGGGTGGGTTTGCCATGCTCTGTTCCATTATTTGCTGGTTTGACTGACATTCCTGGTATATTCTGTGATGTGCTATTTAACGCTCTCTGAGGTATATCAGAAGGTGGGTTAGAACTTGCTATTTGGAGTATTCCATTCAAAACATTGAAATTGTCAGGTCGGAGGTTTCGAGATTGTGTATTAATCTGCTTTGTAATCCGGTTTGTTGCTGTTGACGGGTCAGAAACCTCCATGGGTCCCCCAATTGTAACAATGGAATAGCTGGGACGGATCTGGTGCGAACACAGTGTAGCACATTGTGAGTTCGAGGCTAGTTTAGATGTTAGAAGAGTAGTTTTGTGCGTGTTGATACCTGGAAGTGCAATATCAGTTCCAACAATACCCAGTTTACCAGCTTGCGGACTGTTGGCAGGTAAAATAGTGTTGTTTAATATAGTTTGTAGTTCTTGGTCGGCGTAGAACGCACTTGCTCTATCCTTCTCCTCTGCAGTGACAGGTATTCCATCTATGCTTTGTAATCTTGGAGAACCATGAACTAATATGAGCCGGTGAAGTTGTTTTGCGGTTATAGGATTATCCACCACCGAAATTTCTATAAGATTCTTCTGAGCTATAGCAAAGGTTTCTAGGTCTCCCAGATTGCACAGCTTGTTTCCGCCCACGTAGAGTCGTTTCAAACTTTCCAAACCGCAGAGAGATTGCAGCTCCTTCAGACGATTGTTTTCTAAGTGAATTTCTTGTAACGACCAATTATAGAAAAACGATACTTCTCCAATTTCTTTTATTCGGTTGCCATCCAGAACAAGCTCTCGCAGTTGATGCAGACCTTCTAATCCGGTTATGTTTACAATCTCATTATGCTGAAGAAAAAGAGATCTCAAAGCTGGCATACGATGGAAATGGAACGGTTCTAGGGAACAAATTTGATTTTTAGCAAGATGAACAACTTGTAGGTGAGGAAAAATTGCTTGTGTTGATTTATACAGAGCCAAATACTGTAGATCTGTTGGATCAGTGGATTTGCAATGCACAGATTCAGCCAAGAGAGAAATGTGTTTAGGAAACAAACTTTCAATGCAGTTTTCATTTAAGCACAGTACTCTCAGTTCTGGAAGAAATAAAAGACCTCCAAAAGAAGTGAGCTGGTTTTTTTCCAAATTTACACTCTGTAACCTTCTGAAGCTTTCTGATGATAAATAATCCACAATCTTCAGACCCATATTTGGCATATCCATTTGTGTCAAATTTGTAAACTGATCAGTTTCAAGTTTTTCCATAATAAATTCATTTGAAAGGTGTCCTCCAAGAAGCTCTTTAGATTGCATTACTTCTGTCATTCGTACTTCGTTTCCATCCAGAGATTTTAGACCCTTCAGGTGATGGATAATCCGGAAACGATAATTTTCCAGTTTTTGAGTGATAGGGTTTCCATGTAAATCGATAACCGTTAGGTTTGCAAGGGATTTGAGCTGTAATATTGACTTTAATTCAGATATATGATTGTTACCAAGATAAAGTTCCCTTATCCCTTTGCAAACATTGATGCCATTTAATCGAGGAATATTGTTGCTTCTTAGGCTTATCATTTGCAGAGAAGGAAAAGCTCCATCTGGAATATTTGTCAGAGACTTTATAGCGTTGTTTCCCAAGAGTAAACGTCTTAACTTTTTAAGATTCTCCAGTTCATCGATCATGGAGATAAAATTGTTCTCCGCTGAAAGTTCCTCGATGTTTATGCACTGGAAAACTCCTCGTAAAGACTTCAGGTGGTTGTAGTCTACATTCAAAAACTTCAAGTTTATTAATCTCTCCATATTTTCTAATTTTCTCAGATTGCAGTTTTCCAGACACAAAGATATTATACTGCTCCATGTATTTCGTACTGTTACCCTTGGGATTGTCATTGACCAATTAACAATCTGTTTTGCCACGGAATCAATTGACAGAAAGGGATAATCTTTTCCTGGCGTTGACGAAGCCACGCGTTCACTCTGCATCAAGTTGTTGTCTATTTTTGTTAGGGAAAGCAATCTTTTGCCCTCAGATCTCTCAGCCTCCGTTATATCTTTTGAATCCAACTTTTCAACCCCAGGAAGCATTGCTGCAGCTATATAGCGAAGATTTTCTTTTCTTTTCCATGGGTTAAAACGCCACTGCATTTCTCGAAGCTTTGGGAATGATGCTTGTATGGAATCCAAATCCTCCAAAGCGTTGCTTAAAGAATTATGTCTAATGTCAAAACTTAAAAGCTTTTGTAAGTTAGGCAGTAGTCGCAGTGAACCTATTCTGTTATAGCTTAGGTCGACAAGTACAAGATTTTGTCCTGTAAATAGTGGCATTTTTTGCAGGTAGCAATGATTCAACCTCAAATGCGTCAAATCCTTGAATCTTTGAAGATTGAGTGTTCTTGGGCACTTCACGTCATTGACATTCAAGGAGACACTCTCAGAATTCGCTTTGTTATCGTAAAACAAATCTAACGTGTTTTCTGAAAGTTCAACAGCAGTTGGACGAAGGAAACGATGTGGAATCTTTTTGAGCAGAGTAGAATCCGTTTTGATATCCTCCTCGAGCAAGGGGAGATCTAACTTGGAACTTGAAGAAACCAAAATTTGGTAGAAAGGCGACACAACTTCATGTTTTGTCAGATATTCCAGCTCAACAATAAATTCGGGGAGAAGACAGTTTTCTTCGGAGAATGAGAAGCTTTTGTTAACAAATCGACAAGAACATCCTTTTCCTGTGCAATTAAACTTTTTGGGGTTTTTTAACAGTAATACCTCTTTATCATCATCCGCGTTTGTCTTTGTGAGTAACTCCAAACCATATTTAGTGTTTGCTCGTATCAACAGGATAGTTGTAAATCTTGCTGGCGTCCAATGCTTGTTGGTTGAACAGCTTCTCAGCAGATCTCCAAGATTTTCTTCATCCGCTATACTTAGACTATTGGAAAGAGGAGCACCCTGATTGGGAATCTTAATGCCTGATTTCAGCAATTCCGGAAAATACTTTGTTTTATCTTTGTTTTTGGGACAAACCACTAAAAGATAATCTTGATAAGAGCGAAATAAGTCTGAGTCCAGTGGAATTTCTTCTGTTCTTGGAGAGATGAGCTCATCGAATTCAGTATGCTTTTTTATCCAGTTTTCGAATTTCTGTAGTAATAGTTTGTTATTAACTTTGTAAACGTTATGAACCCTTATTCCGGAAACCGGGATTGCATACAAGTGATGTAAGCAAAATCGCGAGGCTACAAGCTTGCTGCAACGGTGAAACCATTCATCGCTAGTGGATCCTTCCATGAATTCAAAATAACCACACAGCTCTAATTCCAGTTGAAGAAGGTTGTACTTGAGATCTGTGTGTTGCTTTAGTATGTATGATGCAAACTGGAGCTCCTCTTCATACTTTTCTATCATGTATTCCCAAAATGTGATTCTTGTTTGAAGCTCATTTATGTATTGACTGATCTGCAAACTGTCTCCGGTGTCCGTATTTTGCTCACCTCTGATTTTGAAACCCTTGCGGAACTGGAGATGCCTCATCGTTTTATCCAGCTGTTGTATTTGTGATAGAATTTTTGACTCGATGCATTTATATCTCTCCTTTAACTGATTTTGACGGGAGTCCTGAATGCTGAGAATGTGTTGACCTTTGTTTGCATAAAATCCTTGTTTTGCATTCATAACTGCTCTAACTGAATGTCGCAACTCGGGCATGTCTAGGCTCACGTTGTCAAGGACTCTCAATTTTGGAAGGTAGTACATAAGTACTAGTGGAAGGTTTGGATTGGTGCATATTGGGTTCTGTTTAAAGCCGCACTCATTAATTGATAGTGAACTCAGCTGTGGGAGGTGGCTCAAAGCAACAATTTCATCAAAATCAGAAATGATGTTTCCAGAAATATGTAGACATGTGAGTTTGATTGTTTGCTCTAGACATTTTCCAATTACCTTTATAAGATTGTCCGATAAATTCAGCACGCTAAGATTTAAAAGTTTCGAGACACCTTCAATGGAAGATATTTGGTTGTCATTGAGCCAAAGAACAGATAGGTTTTCCAGTTTCTCAAGATTTTCAATGGAACTTATATTGTTTCCATAAAGATATAATTCCTCAAGCATCCTGCAACAGTCGATATTCTCGATTTTATCGAGCTCACATTCACAAATCCAGAGTCTTCGCAAATTCGGACATCCCTTCAAATTGGTGATTCTGTGTATGGATTGAGAAATTATCACGAGTTCTGTTAGATGCACAAACTTTTCCAACCAAGGTACTTCGGAAATACCAGANAGAAAACAAGGCGAATAGCACATCTAATTCCATCGAATTGTTGCCTTCGTTTCCCAAATCTACTCCATTTTGAACACATATTTCTCGGAAAGCAATACCAGAATTATTTTCCATTTCAAGAAATATCACAGGATTTATTTGCAAAATAATTTTGGACCTGGAAACTCATCACCGTCTCATCGTCACGTTTCTAACACTTTAAATTAGGCGGCGCTATTATTTCGAGAGGGAACGTGTCAAAGGACATAACAAAACAAAACGACATGATAGGACAACACTTATCCCTCGGCATGATATTCCGAATTCTTGCTTCTACGGATCACACGTGTCTAGTAAAGCTCCGATAGTGATTTGGTCGCTACTTGCTAGTGTAACTTTCAGTTCTGTTCAGTTCCCTGCTCACATGACAAATTTTGGTTCTTGCCAATCGCACGTCCAGTTCCTTGCATTGTTGGCGGTTTCGTTGGCTTCCAACACTTCGAGTCAATAGTAAATTCTGAAAGGCAGAATGTTAGTCTTTGGTATCGGATCCCTTACAATGTTTCGGGAGTAAAGCCTAACGATTAACTTTCAACACTTAACTTCGAGAAATACCACAGTCCAGCAATCATCTAGATCTCTCTTGAAAGATTCGACATTAATACAGTTAACCAATGCTTCAGGTAATTTATTCCACAGTGGTATAACCGTGCTTCTGAAGAACATATCTCGCAAATTTAGTCTACAATGATTTCTTTCCAATCTAAGTTGATGCCCCCTCGTGCTCCCGGCAGGAACAAACGAGAAAACGTTTTCGAACTTTCGACCCGAAGGCCCTTTGACAATCTTAACTGTCTCTATAAGGTCACCCCGCATGCGTCTGCAGACCAGGGAGAACAGATCCAGGTCCCTCAGTCGTTACAGGTACCCCTTATCTTTCTGGCCTGCTACCATTCTAGTTGCTAATCGCTGTTCTTTCTCCAGACATCATTCGTCTCGTTTAAAATAACGCGCATATGCCTGTACGCAATATTCTAAATGAGGACGCATTATGGTTTCTTACAAAGATACGAATCCTCCGGTCTTCTGCAACTTACAAAAGAGCACAACCTGAAAAGTTCGTGTCGAGCTTTATTGGCCGCACGCTTGCACTGCAGGGATGGCCTGAAATCATCTGTGATCATTACCCCTAGATCCTGAGCCTGGGAGAAGCTGCAAATCCATCACACCTCTCGTCTCATCATTGTCTCCTGTGGTCAAGAACTGATACCTAGATTCAGTGGTAGATCCCATTTATTTGACTGCCTTCGAACTGCATCTAGATCTTGTTCGAATCACTCCCCAGCAAACTTCACATCATCAGCGAACATGAAGCAAGGATTTTAGAGATCCTTCACAAGATTGTTGATAAAGATCAAAAATAATAACGGACCCAACACCGATCCCTGTGGGACAACACTCGATATTCACTCAGGTTCGGTTGTATAATTTCGAACTCTCACACTGGATGTGCGACAGTTGAGAAATTGTCTAATCCACTTTTTTGCCTTACCTAGAACCCACACAGTCTACATTTTTAGATCCAGAAGCTGATGACTGACTGAGTCGAAAGCTTTGCTGAAATCTAGGTAGCAAACCTCTACTTGGTGACCTGCGTCTATTCTTTTTGTAACTTCGTCTAGAAATGCCAGCAGGTTG